AAGTTTGATGAAATAGAGGTTTGTTCTACTGTGGGTACATAGAGATAGAGATATATAGTTAACAAATCTAAAAAGTCAAGATAACCCTGTGATTACATTTTCTTAACCCCCCACTCTCCATCATTCCACTATATCCCTTGCCTGCCCAAAGTCTGTCTTCATCATTATATAGATAATCGTCATCAGTCAATGAACATTCAAGCTAGCATTGTATCTTAACAAAGAAGATGAAATTCACATGGAATTATCATTTTTCAATTTGATGAAAATTTTATTCTAATAAAAATTTAAAAAATACATGATGGAGAAAATTGTAAAACCCAGTTGAGAGACTTAAACTTATGTTAGATAATATCAAATTCCAATATTTTCAGGCTTTAAAATTGGTCCACGTTTTTTGTAGGAGGACTTTTTGACCTCCTTATTGTAATAAATCATTTACCTTTAAGGTAATATAGTGTACCATCAGTTTACTGTGGCTCTTGGAGTGACCCTGGACTCCAGTACTGGCTGATAATATTACCTTCAGCCTTTCACATTACACTCTTCGCGTCTCATCTTCATGATAGAAGTGTTGGAGAACTTAGCACAGTGCTATAACAAGAAATGCTTGCTCAACACTAAACTTAAACATTCATTAGAAACTTGGTGTAATTTATTGGTTTTCAAAAATGTTTTATGTTTCTAGAAATATTTAATTTGGTCTCACCACAACCACAAAAATTCTTGTTTATATCTTGAAGACATATCCAAAAGTTATTCACAAAAACTCAAATTTCCAAGAAAAGGTACTTACTAATTCAAGTAATGAGAGAACTTCTTATCCACACCAGGAAATTCCCTCAGGTTATGCATAAGAGGAGTTCATGGAACAGGCATAAAATAGGACCATCTCAGGAAAACTGGGAAATAAGGTTGCCCTAGCTGTACATATCAGTTAACTTACACCATTGTGTTAGACCTGCTCCAAGCAGTTGGTATACATTGGTACCATGGAGGTGGGAGAATGCCAAAGAAAAATGTGAAATGCTACAGAATAATTGATCACTTACCAAAACCAAGCGCCCCAAAGAAGTTGAGCTCACATAATTCGCTTTATCGTTCAGTTATGGCTAAGAAAATCTTCAAAGTACTTTGCCGCACATTTTTAAAAATACAGTATTAGTAAATTTTATGTGTTCCAACACCAGAAAAATCAAATAAAAAATACAGAGAAGTATGACAATTAAGAAAGCAGTCTGGTTATAGGGGTATCCTAGCCCATGGAGGTCAATGTCAATACAAGTAAGCCTAGAGATTGAAAGAGACCTGGCAGACCCCAGGAGACCACCATAATAATTCACAGTCACCAAGCAGATAGCTCTGGTGAACCCTTCTTATTTCTGATTATACACCTGGAGTGCAGGAGACAGTCCTAATAGTCCACAGCCACCCAGCAGATAGCCCCATCGAGTTCACATTATTTATATGTTGCACTGTCGGAAAGAGAGGAAACCATAATAGCATTCCCACTGTACTGTCTGAATCGCCCCAATACCTGAAACTGGACTGAGATGAACAGGAATTGTGGAAATGACATTGAGAAAGTCATAATCTTCTGCTCTGGGGAAAACTAAAGCCCTAGTGTCACAATAACTTCTCAATTCTGCAAATACAAAATCTAGCATACAATTAGAAAAATAAAACCCCAAACCAGGCACAAAGATGATTAGTAGCCAGAACAACAACAACAGCAAAGCAAAAATAACCCACAACACCAAACTGAAACCACAGAATGACTGCTCTGTCAGAGTGTTAGGAATGTCATAAATGTGACCTTTAAGACAAGAGAAGACATGATAGACTAACAAAAGTATAAAAGGATTCAAACAAAGAAGGCAAGGCAGCAAAGAGAAATTAACCTAGCCAGGCATGGTGGTGAACACTTTAAGCCTCGGCACTGAGGAGGCATAGGATCTCTGTGAGTTACAAGGCAGCCTTATGTGTACAGTGAGCTCCAGCCAGCCAGGTTACAACAATTAAAGAAATAAAGACTGCAAATTTAAGAAAGTGTATATGGGAACAATTAGAGAGAGGAAGAGAAGTAGGAAATGATATAATAAAAATTAATCTTGAAAAAAGAAAAGTGATTCCTTAAAAAAAAGTCAGTCTTCATGTCTTAGGGGAGAGTGTTGGGGAAGAGGTGTTGGGTATCCTGATTGGTAAACATAGCAAGTATCTCAGTATCTCAGTCTCCCTCCCTCCCTCCCTCCCTCCCTCCCTCCCTCGCTCCCTCCCTCCCTCCCTTCCTCCATGCATCCATCCCTATGTCCCTCCCTGTCTGTGAATACATTTACATGGAAAGTATTATTTGGATAGACAGACACTGAGTCAATCATTTTGTCATTTGTTTTATATGTTCCACTATAGGAAACTTGATGCTGTTTCAATGATGGCAACATACTTGTCAAGTGAGCCTATGACTCCTTGGTGTAGGATAATTGCCACCACAAAATATTTCATGAGAAAAACTCCCCAACAGTGTTAAACAACAGTATGGGATTTACTCAGGAGAGAAGTGTATTTTTAAAAGTAGGATAATTCATAACTGAAATATTAACTGTAATAAATATGCCAGTATGAACCTTGATGTATCCATTTGGACATTTTCCACATCCCAGGTGGCTAGCCTAATACCAATTAAAGCATCACAGATTGCTATTATCTTCATGCATTATTATTTCCATGAATTAATTTTGTCTTAAAAATCAGACCTTTTCCAAATGAGAATACATTTAAATATCTGAGGTACAAAAGTGAAGTTGAATGTCAGGACCCATAGACATCTATAATTTTAAATTCTAAAAATACGGAACCCTGGGAACAATGCTGGAAAAATTAATAGCTGAGAAAGTGCCTATGGGGTTACCTGATCATGTCTCTAGGTATTTATAGAGAATCCAAATAGTAATTCTATTTCCTTATGAAGCTGCTTATCATTTTTGTTCATATATATTCATTAATTTTTTGTTAATTCACACATATACACATTCATCCATTGTTTTAATCTTTCATTTGATAAATATACGGGATTATTTAAGTGCCTGGAATACTGTTTAGTCATGAAGAAAGAAGTACATGTTAATATACTTTCCTTTATAATAGCTCACAGTTCCTAAATATCTTATGAAATATGCCTAAAGTATAGATAAAGCTCTAAATATATGGATCTTGATGCCATCTCATTCCTTTAGGGCTTTAAATCAAGCATAGATGCTTAGTGGGCACTAAGATAGAGACATGACTGGGTGCAACAACTTAGAAGAGAATTTATTAAATGTGGACCTGAGGAGGCTTAGGAAAGAAGGGCTGATGAAACTGGTTAGTTAGTCTAATACTGAAGAATTTTCTATTTCATAGATTCAGGTTTCTTTCTGTAGTATGACACCATTAGAGATTTTTCCTTTTTAGGTGATGGAGGCAAACATGAGGAGGAGATATAAGGAACAAGACAAACCAGGGAGTTATTGCTCTCATACAAACCAGACTGAACAGTCCTTGCTTAGGATAGTGATGGAGGAACAGAGAGTGGGAACAGATGTGGAGGATGGGTAGAAACAGAAGCGGCAAGAAATGTGTGGGCAATAGTTATGTCCTTAATGGGGGATATATGGAATTAAAGAATATTAGACAAAACAAACAAACAAGCATGGTTTTTAACAATGTAAAAGAAACAGAGCATTGGGAAGACATAAGTGGTGTATATCATTTTCTGCTGGCTTTTTCTAGAAGGTGTGAAACTCTCCTAGTTTCCTTGAGTTTCATCCTTTGTCTTCTGCCACTGGCATCTACTGTCTGCATTGGCACTGGCCTGTACTCTGGTATTCTTGGCTCTGGTGTGTCTGGATAAGGTCAAGTATTCTTGATGGGCCATCAGCACACAGATGTTCTGCCATACCCTAACACATTGCTTTAATCTTACATTTTCTGGTTTGACAAGGAGAGGCCAAAATTAGCAATAAAGGCAAAAGAAATGTCTTTCTTGTTTGAAATTGCTTGCAAAATCATTCTTAATTGTAAACTATCTTTAATCTCAATTATGCCAGGATTATTGTTTTCTCTACATTCAATTATAACTCTTCTACACTCTCAAATTCATCTAGGAAATATTACATTTTGATTCATTTTACCAAGAACCATGTTTTCTGATGCCAAAGAATAGCTTCACCTTCATAGGATTTATTATGAATAAAAATAGTATTTTCATTTTCTCAATTATTATTTAAATTGCACACACACATTCAGTTCTTTGGGGGAAAGATGCATAAAGAAACTTTTGGAAGCCTATATCTATAGTCTCATAAATTACTACTGCAAATGTCATGGGTATTATTCAGAGTGTTCCTTGGGATTATAGGATTAATAATGAGTTAAGAGATGTGTAGTTGACTTGAAAAGCAAGTGCCCATGGGTGGTAAAACTTAAGTATTGGCTAAAAGACTTGATCCCTTTCATCTGCCCTAAAGTGTGAATGATCCTAGTTTACACATCATCAATTTACAAATCGCTTCAGGTCTGGATGTTCAGATAAGGTGGAGACTGCAAATGTAAAATCTTAGGATTCCAACTGAGTATTGCCACATAATGTTTCTATGATTCTTTGACACTTTAATGTTAAAATACTCCCCTGTTGAAATCTTTGTTCTTTCTTGCTTAACTCAATGAAACTTTTTTCCTTTGCTTGGTGCAGATTGTCTCACAAACTATTCACAAGGAAAACTTACAACCCCTGTTGTAGTTGCTTATAAAAGCTGTTTAAATTGGTCCTTCTTATTGTATGTGTTTCTCATTTATAACCTTCTAAGTGCAGTAGAGAACTATTCCCACTGTGGGCTCTGTTAGAAATGAAGGACAATGTCTTGTTGTCCCTTTGTTTGTGTTAAAATGTCCCTTTCTCCCAGCTTTGAATCCTGTGATAATCTGTTCAACAGTGGAGTGCCTGACATGTGTTTGTTCCTTAGGCAAACGTGTAAAAGTCTTCAAGTTGGAATGGAGAAGTAGGAAGAGAAGGTGTGCTGTGCCTCATGACAATGTTTGATTTCCCACATTCAAAATTATTCTGGCTCCTCGCTGGAGCAGTAGTTATGGCGAATTCTAGTGTTGATCGGATTCTGAGGAAGGGGCAGAAGTTCCCTTGAGAAGTAAAGACCCAAAACAACTCCAGAAATGAACGCCTGTCTCCGTTCATTTCTCACAGAGCAGCAGGTGTGTACCCCATTTTAACAGGTGAACTGTCACCTAATCTTTCTTATGGATACTGGTAGCTTTCCAGGTGCTTGATTTCAAGTGGAGATAGCAAAACTGGAACAGTTTTAGAGATGAGAGGGCAAAGAACTGACTCTATGGTTAATAAAGAAAGCAATGATTCTTTTTAATTAAAAAAAAGCAAGTGGAAAGAAGCATCATTCTTTGAAGTGACTCATGAAGCCCACAGGTTGGATGTTGCACCTTGATCAAGATAATGTTGTCATTGGTGAACCTTACGATGTCACCACCAGTGGTTCTGCAGTGCCACTTTCCTTAGAACTGAAACAAAGTATAAATCCCTAATATGTTACTGAACATCTGGCAGTGTTCAACCTGCCTATTTGTAAATTTGCATAAAGAACACTGAGTCAACAGGCTTTCACTTATCTCCATAACCCAAATCTAGACAGACTTCTTACCCAATCTATTCTTTTGCAATATATTCTTTTATATATTAGAATTAACATTGAAAGCTATGTTGTGCCCTACCTTAAGCAATTACACACACACACACACACACACACACATATATGTATATATATATTCTAAATTTAGAAAATTGAGACTACTGCATTATATTAGGAAGGCCCAGGAAAGATAATACTGAGTTGGAGGTGCATGCCTAGTCAACACCTGCCTGTTAACCATTGTTGTCTTCACTTTTCCTATTTCAAGAGAATGGATTGCTTTGCAATGTAGAGAAAGGGATTTTAAAAAATTACTATCACATGTGGAATGATCATCACTAAACCTAACTGAATGTTACAATATGTAGAGTATGTCTTCCTTCTGGAATGTTCTTCAAAACACACTTCGTCCTTCCACAAGTCACACCAAGTCTTTTTTACATGATAGCACTGTGTTAATTTATTAGTACAGGTGTCCCAAAGAAAAATTACTGAAAGCCATTTCGTTTGTAACTCAAGCCAACCAAGAAGTTAAGAGAAAATTTTCTTAGCAACACCTGAACTACTATGAAGGGTGCCCTCAATTCTGGTCATTGTTTCCAAGTCCCACTGGCTGCGAACTTGTTTTGCAAAACGGTTTTGCACTTTACTGCTGCTCCTATTTCCTTTTACAGGAGTGAAGCTGAAATTGTTGAGGAGTATAGTGCTTGACTAGCCTTAAATTTTAAGCTAACACTTTACTGCAGAAAGTGGGTAAAAACTATCCATTCAAATTATTTCATATAAATGAGAGGTGAATCCTAAAAAACAAATGTAATATCAAATTTGACAGGTGAATCGAATTCCAATTGAACTAAAAAAATCTCATGGTCTCTAAACTTTGCAGTGGTGGAATATGTAATTCATATCTTTAAAAAATCTACCCAGATTCTCTTCAGGCATTATTTTCCTGTCTTGAAATATTTTTTAAACTTCCTATGATAGACATCCTTATCCTGATTCTTTTGTTATCTAAAATTACTATTTTTTTTTGGTGTGTCTGTGTGCCACCTGCAACAGAAGTTGAGGGACCAGAAGTAGAAGGACAACTTTTCCTAACAAATTCTGAAAATAATGTCAAGGCACTTATTGGGTAAACAAAGACAAAGTGAGGAGTGGCTCATTTATTAATAGTAGATGTCAAACTGGGGAGGAGCTGTCTGTTCCTGAAGGGAAAGCAGTTCACAAGAGGCAGCACCAACACTCATCTGCTTCCACAAACCATGTAGGAGGGTTTGAAGTTCTAAGAAATAGCGCGAGTTCATCTGCTTAGAAGTCTCACTCCAGCTGGAGTCTTTATTTTCCGGGTGCACTAAGCTGTGATGTTTCCTCCATGAAGATAGTCCTGCACTTTCAGAAAATAAAATACAGAGTGACAATTGTACCACTGAGTTTAGGGTTGTCCAGGTGATTTGATCCAATTTGGAAGTCATGCGTCTTAAGAAAAAACTTACTAGTTGGGGCTAAGGTAGGAATTAGGAACTCAGTCCAAATGACAATGTTGGCAGCTTGGAACACTACAAACTCAAGGTATTTTAAAGTTAAAAACTAGCCGGCAGCGGTGGTGGTGTAAAACTCTGTACCAGCAAATAAAGTCTGTCTCGGCTCAGCTCATCCAGGACTGTGACTCTCTCCCGGAAGTGCAGAGGACTGAATGCCACATCCAGGGACTCCTCTCCCCTCTGCTTCCATGGAAGCTCTCTCTCTCTCTCTCTCTCTCTCTCTCTCTCTCTCTCTCTCTCTCTCTCTCTCTCTCTCTCTCTCTCTCACACACACACACACACACACAAATTAGTTAGTCATCTGTAAGTTGTCTGGAAATGATTCTTTTTCCAGTTACCTAAACCCGATAAAAATTTTCAAGAAGTTAGTGAAATGATTAAGTGAAAATTAGTTCAAGATCACCTAGTAGTCATGCTGAGTCTTGGAATATTGAATGGACAGCCTCCTGTTGCTCCATGTTAAATCAAATGTCAAGCCTAGCTGAACACCAGAGTTCTGTGGAAGAAAAGGTAAACTGTGGTACAAACATTCGGTGATCATCAGAGCTATAAATATTATATCTGTTACTATGGAAGTAAAATATACACTTAATTTTATGCAGATGAGTATATTTATGACAATTATTCATTTGCCGTTGTCTTGTAGCGCCTTATCTATCCTAAAGCTATCTGGGCAGCTTGCTTGTGCATGCAGATCCTTGCCAGACAGGTATCTCTCATGTTATGATACCCTATTTGAGATAGAGTGAATATATTCATGTACTGTTATGATCAAATTAATGGCAGTTTTTCCCTAGTTTAAATGGAAAAACCCTGTTACTGTGGAATAACGAAGTTTTAATTGCACATTTAGTGTACAAAGAGTAAAACCAGAAGTAAATTCATGTACTTGTAAGAGCCACATTAAAAAAAATCATTTACAGTGAGCAACAGTTCTCTTTCAAGGAAGGAGATATTCATCCAAATAAGCACTTAAGATTATGAAGGAATCCACTGTTCCTTGTGTCTTTATGGAGCACACCAAATTCATTGGAATCTTAGTGTGAAATGGTATCCGTTTGTGATGTTATTAAGAACTTCTATAAAGGTTGGACACATACTGCATTTACACCCGCTGCGTTATCATAGACACACTGCCACACTTTCTTGCCTTCTATTTGCTTAAAGAATGTTCATTAGCATGGAAATAAATGTTTTTCTAATAACATAGGTATTTTAATGAAGACATAACTCCCTTTGAAATGCAATTGACTCCAGTACTCAAACACACCGTCTCTCCACTAATGTGTGTGTGTGACTCATTTTATAATGGCATGAATATGAATGCTATTCCAAAGTGCTCTATAACAAGATTTTAATGACAATGTTACAGAAAAGAATCTGTTATCCTGTAAATGGCAGAAGATCCACACTGATGCTGTAGGGACTCCGAAGTGGTTCCACAATTTACACAGACTGCAAACTGAAACAGAACGAGTGGTACGATAGCATTCAATTAAAGAACCACAACATTAGCTGGGTGGTGGTGGCGCATGCCTTTAATCCCAGCACTCGGGAGGCAGAGGCAGGCAGATCTCTGTGAGTTGGAGGCCGGGCTGGACTGACAGCCTCCAAAACAATACAGAGAAACCCTGTCTCATAAAAACAAACAAAAAACAAAACCCACATGTGTCTGAATTTTTGTAGTTACTGTAGGCACTACTGAGTACCTTCAACTGCCTTTAGCCCAGGTCTCTGTTTCCTAGCTCATGGCCATATGATGCAAAAGCTGATCTGTACCTGGAGTCTGCAGAGCTGCTCATTGGACCCTGTCAGCCTGAGGCCACAGATCAACCTTTTAACCACTTCTTTGTGTCTGCTTGTCTGAAAAGACATTGTTTTACCCACAGTTATCTAACAGTGTGAGATTTTTGATATGTGGCCTTCAAAAACAGTATTATCGAAAGTGTGATTTGCAAGGTGAGTTACTAAAGAAATTACCTGAATTCAGTCAGTATTTCTAGATAAACAAGCAGCAGTGACACTGCTTTATGGGAGTTCTACAATCACTTTTTGTGTCTTGTTTGAGAATTGCCATCTGATAATTTTTAAAATGCATCTTCTTGGGTGTACTCTTTGCTAGGGATGTTTGATTTAATCATAATAGCAAATAAGTGTGTCCAGATAATAATGCTATCCTAAAATTTTACATGGAAAGATGAAGGCTCATGCAGTTTAAATAATGCATTTGGTCCCATTGTGTTTGAAAGCCAAAGGGGTTGAATTTGACCCAGAATCTGCCTACAGAGGTCATGACTACCATTGTGTCTCCCAGTTATTACCTACTCAGCAGAACTTGGGAAGAAAGGAAATTTAGGCATTTATGAACATAATTATATTAAGAATTTTTCTAATTCACTTTTACAATTGGAGGAAGCAAAGATTTGAATATCCTCTAGGTGTTTGATTTGAAGAAAACATAGGGCATTTCATAATGGTCCGAACTTAAAGAGCAGACAGCATAAAAATATCTGATTTTAATATAACTAATATCTTAAGTGATGATCAGTTGATTTTATTTTCTTAGTTTAAATTGATGAATAGATTTGACACTTATACCTGAGAATCTAAGAGGCTGTCTGGAATAGATTTTTTTTTGCACTGGTATAACTGAATGCTTTGGTCCTTAGCACTTCTCTGAGGGAAGATGCACTGAAGGGTGATTATAGCATGTGATATTGGAGCAAAACTAGAGTTATTTCTCTGTCTCTTACATGAATGTTGCCCTGGGATCAAGAAGGAAGCTATGCATACATGGGAACAAATAAGATCTGGCTGTCCTGAAACCTGGAATAGTTAGGGACAAGGTAATAAAGATGGTCTTAGAAAGTCAGTGAGGAGGCCTAGGTAATCTATTGAGCCTTGGGCAGCAGATCAGTACCCATCCCAAGTATACACACGGACTTTGGACTCCCATAGAACAATGTGAGGTGCACTCTCACCCTGAACTCTTGGGGAAGGGTCTAGGCCCTGCCCTATATGATATGACAGACTATGGACACCCCCATGGAGGGCCTCACCCTCCCTGGGGGAATGAGGGGATAACGGGGGGGTTGGGGGGAGGGCACGGGAGGAGGGGAGGGAAAGGGAGAGGGACCTTGGAACTGACTTGTGAAGCAACCTTGTTTCTTATCTAAATTTAAACTGGAAAATAAAAGAAAAAAAATTAAAAAAAAAGAAAGTGAAGATTTCACTGTTTGACGTTTTCTCAAAAATAAGATTTTGGTGTAAATTGTTGTATTTTACTTCTAAAAACAAGGTAATGTTTATATTTCCTTGTTAAATGTTGGATTGTATAAATACTACTTAAGCGACACTTACATGCCAGAACATTCCGATTTATAGTTTACAGCAGGTGAGTTGGTATCTTCACCCATTAGTGATCAAAAATTTAAGGTTGCTCATTTGAACTTCTTCAGTGAGCCTAGAAATTATTAAATGATTTATTTAACCTTTTTCTTCTTTTAGTTAATGATTTTGTTTTAAAATATCATTTGAACTGTGCTTATTTGGTGATTTAAATGGGGGATGGTATATCTATACCCAGAATCTTGTTCTGTATTTTTATTATTTTTTTTTATCTTAAAACAATCTTTTCTCATTTTATATACCAATCCCAGTTCACACTCCCTCCCCTTCCCCTGTTCCCCTTACCTTTGGAATATATTTGAAAATTTTTGTCTTATTGGTTCTATCATTATATTTGGTTTGAAACTAGATGTTCCTAGAGGGTATCCTGATATATGCTCATGGGCTCAATTTATGCCATGTTGGAAAGGGGCAAATCATTAGTTAATTTCATCCATGGACCTCAAACTTAACTCTATTTCTGTCACAATACTTCTCCCACTCTACTTAAATTTCTCTTCTTTAGATTTATGCATTAGGACAATTCTATATCTAAAAATGTCATTTCATGTTGTTAGCAATACTGGCAAAACTGTGTTTCTTATAGGCATTACAATGCTTAATTCTCTCAGAAGAAGTTAGCAGGATCATCTGCATTTTATTTTTTGTTTATTATTATTATTATTTAGATTTGAGACTGGGTTTCTCTGTAATGTTTTGCAGGCTGTCCTGGAACTCGCTCTGTAGACCAGGCTGGCCTCGAACTCACAGAGATCCACCTGCCTCTGCCTCCCAAGTGCCAGGATTAAAGGCATGTGCCACCAACACCCGACTTCATCTGAATTTTATATATGAGAAAACTGAGAGGGATTAAGTCTGAAAGTAACACACAGCCTGAGGCATATCAGTACCATATTGGCTTATATCCAGAGTGTCACATATCTGGCCATAGTGTGCCCTAATCAAATAGTTAGAACGATTAAGTCTAAAACAGACCATTCACTGTCATCAGATACTAGGAATTATTATTATTATTGAAATTATTATTCAATACTTGACTCAGGAAAGAACTAAGCTAAGAATATGTTACAAAGCATTAATGTGAGAAAAATTGCTTTATTGTGTTTCAGCCCATGCTTTAAGATACTTCTTGTTTTTATGCTACCGCTTTTTATGGCCATGTTTAAGTTTTTGGTTTCTCTGGCTATTATTTTAGCCAAGAGAAAGATACATTATAAAAGTATGCATTTATATTCCTTACAAATATGTATATGTCTGCATGGATGTATGCAGATGATAGATAGATGTATGTATGTATGTATGTATATGTACACATATAGACTTTCAGAGATGGAGGAAAACTGGTTTTATTTAAGGAGGCTTCTAGTATTGTTTGTTTTTAAAATCATGTGAAAGCAAAGCTCTAATTAATACACAAATCAACAGAATCTTCCCAGGTTTTTATGAACTAACGGGATCAAATGTTTACCTTAGAATAAAGATATAATGATGAGGCTACCAGAGTTACCTGCCAGTGACTCACAGTTGGGCTGACAGGTACTAAGGGCCCACTCTTCTCTCTCTGTCTCTGTCTCTGTCTCTCTCTCATTCTCTCTCTCTCCCTCTCCCTCTCCCTCTCCCTCTCCCTCTCCCTTTCCCCCCTCTCTCTTTCATGTCTTGGGGGCTCTCTCTTTTCTCTTTCCTGTTTTAGAGTACACTCTGCTCTCTCTCGTGACTTGGGGGCATGCACTCCTGCTTCTTGTTTGCCTCCAACATTCTGTCTCATTGCTCCATCCCCTTCTAGAAATAATCATCGATCTCTATCAGTATTTTCCAACACTTCTTTACCTTTTCTATTATTTAAACCCCAGTTTCACAAATATGGTCCCCATGTAATGTTTAATCAGTTTTCTGGCTAGGAAGAACAAATTTCAGAAAATGCCTGTGAACTTTTCTCAGTTAGTAGTAGTCAAAGACTATGCTATAAAGTTTATTATTAAATGTTACTGTGAAAATACTTTTCCCATAGTGATCAGCCATCACCTTTGGCATCTATGGCATAATGTCCCTAAAAACAATATTTCCTTTCCTCTTCCTTCCTACACTGATTTTCTGGGAGTCCTTCACAGACTGTGTGGGAGGAGCTCCGAATGGCAAACTGATGAGACTCCCAAGTCCTACCCTTGATAATTTTACCTTCCATAATCTCCACAATTCAGCAAGTCCTTCACTTCATAACCTTAAGTGTAAGAAAAAGCAATTGGATAAATAGCAATTGAACACAAGACAAAATCAAAATGGCACCCCTTGTGTTTCAAAAGCATTTTTAATTTTGCATGTGCTTTTCAGAGTTATTACTTAAGATTAGCCATTGCAGAGCAAAGTCTAGGGTTACTTTATTATTTAATTTAATATTTTCATTTTTCACAGCAGATCTCAAAACAAAGTAAAGCCAGATTTTTAAAAAATTATCAAAAGCTATGTCACTTAATTAAATAAAACCAAGTGATCACATTATTTTAAAAATTTATGTTTGTTATACCTGTGGGTAGAGTATAAATATTTTGGTTGCTATCTCAAAATGTCCTAACTGATATTAATGTAAAGTGAAGAGTGAATAAATATAGCAGTAATCTGAGTCTTTTCCTATATCATTTATATAAATGCAAATAGTGTATTTAATACATGTTCTTTTTATTTTGGTCCTGTATGTGTATTTTGGATAGTAATATGTTTGGATAATAATAAGTATGAAAATTTAATGTGAATCTTCCTAATCACTCAAATCACATTAATAATAGTGTCTATTTTATGAGAATATTTGCACACCTTGAACCTTGCTAAATCATTACACTATTCTTCATTCTTTGTTTCTCTAAATATATTATTTTTATCACATGAATAAGTGATTTTTTTGGAACATGTAAAGGATTCTGATAGGTCCCCCAGTTTTTATGCTATTTGAGAATGAATTTTGTATAACCAGTCTCCAAGGTTTGAGTATGTTCTGGTTTTACTTCAGTGACCGAAGATGCTTCTCCATAGATGTTTGCAGATTATAACCACCCTATCTGCACAAATGAGAAAGGTCTCAGAATCCTTCACTTCTACAAATGAGGATTTTACAGTAGTGATTGTGTTTGTCATAGTTGTAATCATTGGAAATAATGATGAAAGTTGTGGTAAGAATATTGCAAAATGATAGAAAAAGTATACATTTTAAATATTTTGGAATATGAATATGTAGGTCCTGGAGAATTCAGTACTGTGCTTGGTACAGTTTGCGCCAGCTAGTAACCATTAATTAACTATTGTCCTTAGATTATAGCTTTATTACAAAGTGCTCACTATATTTTCTCCTTTTTTTCCAGGTAACCCATTAACCACACATAAATCAAGTAATCCTCAAGACTGGGTTCATGGAGACACACATAGAAACTTGACCCCTGTGGTGATCTTGAAGATTTTTATACCTCTTAGAAGTGGGGCTCTTAAGTCTATTTACAAGGGATTCCATGACTTGCTATCAGCTTCTTCTTGAAACAAAGACTTACAGTTTGTCATGAACTTCATGTCCTGAAGATGTCATCAGCTGTGAACTGCACTTGGGCTCATTACACTTCTGAAGGAAGCAGACAAAGCAGAGCTGGGGTCCTAGGGGTGACACCAGACTGCCACCTGTAGGGGTCCTGACTTCAGCTGTGACTATTCCTGTTTCTGAAGCTGTCTCCCAAGCACACTGTCCTGTCATGGATATGTTCCTGGGTCCTCTGTTCATTGTCTATAGGACTGTGCACAGCTTTTATGACGTTTCCTTTGTGAACTTCTCTGGCATGGTGTAGCGGAGACATTTCTATTGGTATTCTAATGTTGAATCTCTGAAAGCCTACATGTTTTAACATCTTATACTTGCCTCTATGAAAGGAATGGAAGTATTTCTCCATTGATAACGTTAATCATTGGCAAGTCACCATAATCTGAATCCATCAATCATATAAGAATGTATAGACATGCTGACATGTTTCCCCAAGGCTAACACATGACTGCCATTCTGTCAGTTAAGCAGATAGCAGTTAGGATTGGATCCCCATTACCGTTGCACAGTACTCTGTACCTCTAGCACACCTTTGCTTCCAGTTTTATTAAGTGTATTTTCCTATTTATGTTTCCCTTTTCTTTTCTTCACAGAAATCGTCAGTGTGTAGTCAAGTTAGTAGGTATCCTTCCATTAAAAAAATACCAGGGATGCATGTACTTTTCTAATTACTCATCGCTTATTTTTATTCTAGTATTTTCTTAAACTATCCTTCCTGTATCATTTTGAGATTGTCTCTTGCTCGACTCCAATGACTGCTTGAATGCTTATATATTTGTTCAGTCTGTGGATAGAAAAAATTGTTCATTTTCCTTGACCTCAAAGGTCTAATAAATACTTGCTTATCATTGTTCCAATCAAATGATTTCTTAGGCCAGTATTTTGTCCATATTTTCTTAGCCATCTTATGACTTGTAAGTTTTAGTTCTTCAGGAACATCTTACAAATATTTAAAGGCCTTAAACATTGATTTACTTTTTTTCTAAGTTATTACAGAATGTATAAATTTATACTACATTTATTTTGTTTCACTTGTGATGTGGAGGGAGAGAATACTGGGTACTGAGTTACCACTGTGTAATAATTCCATGGAAATCTATAGTTTGAAGGAAAGTAAGGCAAAGATTTTCCATGTCTCAATTATTTCAGCATGAGCAAAAGAGGCTTCACAGATCATCTTATTAGGTAGTCCATCTTTTTGGTAGAAGAGTGAAAGTATTGTGGACTTCTTGTACTTCTTAAACTCACTGACAAGGCCAGATAAACTTAAGTTGGATTCTGTGATGGAGGCTCATATGTTCTACAGAATTTCTATGTTAGTCTGTAACGATATTAAAAGATTCATATATCTAACAGATCCTTTACTGGGAAGAAAAACTAAAAGTATAAAATCTGTTAAAAATTAAATTTGAAAACTTTTTTATATTGAGCTAAAGTCAACCGCCTCATGGATACATGGAATGAAGTGATTCCTGCTTCCCTTTAATTGTGCATGAACCAGTTGGGTGGTTCCTAGTGGGTTTTTCAATGGGTCAAGACTACGTAGAGTGAAAATCAAAGGAATAACAGTTGTCCTGGATGTTTTATGTCAAACAAAATATTAATTTCTTTGAAACAAAATGAAGAACTAGATCATTTTGAACATTATGAATTTACCCTAGGTTTGTTTGAAATTATGGATCATGCTTCTAATTTTGAAAAGTATGTCGTTTAACACAGCGCTGGAAATTCTGTATTATATAAAAGTGCAATACATGCGTATCAATAGAAAAAAATAAATGGAATTTCAAATATATGAACTAGATTATCCCCAGTAGATTAATGTTGTGAATATTCAGAAGAAAGTGAATAAAATTGGAGTATAAAATTGACTCGCTTTCACAAGTAAAGTTTGGAGAATCTGGTCTCTTGTATTCTATTTTAAAAAGTACCTTAATTAGTAACCAATACAATTCAAAACTTAGAAAGAACCTGATGAACTGTTCAATCCTCTTTTAATAAAGCTCCGTGCAAAAGCTTCAGTTTGTGTAAGGTTTCAGCATTTGACTTGCTTTTTAGAAAAGCACGAAGTTAACACATTGACACGTGTGATGTACACATGCAAATCAACTATGAACACAAGTGCAAAATTCATCTTATAACGAGAACTATAAGCATAACTTACCCTAGGAAATGCATTAGAGTAGATCCATGCATCCACATTGTGTTTGAAAGTCTTTGAAAATGCCTTTTTACTCTAACATTGTTTAAAATTAACAAGAAACTACAGAAGGTAGGAAAAGAGTCCCTTTGCCCCCTTTTCATCTTTCCCCAGTGATAACATATTCCAAAATCATAATACATTGTCTAAACACAGAAGTTCACATTGTTGTAATGCTATGAGCTCAAAGAAGGTTTATTCAATTTTTTGGTCTGTTTTCACATGAACTGTGCATATGTACTCTCATCTTTTTGAAATGCATGGGTGCCATTTTACTGTAGGCTACTGGAATGTACATCAGAAGTGAAGGTAAGTTTATAGGCCAATAAGTGAATGGTTATGACAGTTTTAAAGTTCCTATTTTTAGAATAACATCTTTGCATTTTTATAATTTTTTGTTCCCATGACAGAAAGGAAGTTTACCTCTAACTCCAGACAGAACCAAAGATTATTTTAAATTTGTATTACTTGTAATGACCAGTAAGAAGTCTGAAAACTATGGTTGAAATGAAAACAGCTGATTTTACTTCCCTTAGTAAATGTGATTATTACACAGTGTGGTGCAAATAATTTATGTTTGTGTGTATCTCTTTACCCTTGCACAATGAATATAATATACTGATGAAAATTTTACATACACATTACATTTATATGTGAGAAAAATATGTAAAAATCAAGTGGCATGCTTTTAATCATTAATCTTTTCTTGGTTGGAATAAGCAACTTATGAGAGGAATTAAGATGATACTGGAAACTCTGGGTACAGCACTGGGAAGTTAGGAGAGATATACATTGCATACTAGGTATCTTTTTATCTTCACCTACCTAGATGCCCATGACAGAACATCACTATATTTGTCAAGGTAAAGACCTTCCCTTGTTTGCCCTTCTATATCCCTTTCCTCTATATCTGCTTTCTTCTTTTGTATAATATACAAAATATAATATCTTTAAGGAATATCTATCTTCTCTCTATCCACTAATATATGTGTCTAATATTTGTATGTCTTGATTTGTACTCCACAGGAATGCAAACTTGTGTGGTTATCTAGAATTTAACTAACAGCTATTAAATCTCTACTAAGTACAAGAATATTTGGCCAGATTAAGATTTTGGATTGATTGACTTTATTCTTGAGCAATGGCCTTTCAAGACAGGTCAAGAAAAAATTTCTGGATGCTGTCCCTGTGCATATTACTATGTTATGTCGTGGGGAATTGGATAAACAGGTTTATCAGTGTTTCATATTTTTCTTAATCTGTTCACATTTTTTTCTTCAGGATGTTTATTAAATGGGTACTTTGAACATTTTTCTAGAAGGTCCTATCTGGTGTGCTAAACAAATTTAATTCAAGAACTCAAGTGAACAAGATGAAAAATTGTGTTTCTTTGTAAATTTGTGTTTTACAAACCTTGGCAAAACATGCTCAAAAGTATCAAAATGAACAGATTGTGAATGTAGAGAGAGATTAAGGAGGAATAAAGACACCTATGGGAGAGCTATGCGGACATGAACTTGAACTGTAATAATGGCAAGGACCTGAATCATTGGGTTCCCATCCTAATTCCAGTTAAATTACACAAAGAAATCCTAGAACATAACTATGCTCATTTCTGCTTTCTGAGGGCATTTTAATTGGCATTAAATTGACATCTAGGTATAGAAGTTTCTTATAAAAACTCCTCTGTTTATTTCAAAATATACCCAGGCAAGGTGGACATGATGAGATGGTAAAATGACTGAACAAGAGAACAGAAGATGAGGCCAAGAACTCCAGGAGGTTCTGTGCTCACTAAGGCAGGATAACATTGGTTCAGTTGAACATTAGAGAAAACTTGAAGATATCACAGACTTCACAGCAGGTGGTGAGGAGTTCATTGTTTAAAGACACATTGAATCTAAAGTGCCAACAAAACATCCAGAGAGGCCATGTTATGTAAGAATTGAAGAGTTTAATTGCATTTGCAATTAGAAGTTATCATTGGCTTTAGACAGAGAAATTTCATTAAAAATATTCATTTCAAAATTGAGATTTCAATGGGTTGAAAAATGAGGAATAGACTTGAGAGTAGATAAAGCATATGCTGACTTCTCTTTCAACAGGAAGTGAAACAGACAAGATAGTGATTTAGTCAAAACACCATCAAAAGACATTTTATTTTTACCAGTGTGAGAAGTGCATGACTATATATGCCACAAAGAATGAAGGAGGAGGGGAGTAGGGAAGTAGACACAGAATCTGAGTGTAGAAAAATGTAATTGGTGAAGGAAAGGGTGTTTGCCTACACTGTATGAATAACAAGGAAGATCAGATTCCATGGACCATCCTTTAGTACTGGAAGAGTGAAGAGGAGCTTGGGTGAACTCCTTAAGGATCTTCAGTGTAGTAGTGATGATGCTAAGGTAGAGCTCAACCAAAGGACATTCACTGGGTAATAATTATCAGCTTGTGCCCAAACTACTGACACTAGTATAACTGACAATTTTACAACCACTAAGTCAAACTAAGTCAATGATTAGAGAAATGACTAATATCTTCATATTTTTATTTGTAATATGCTAATGCTTTAGTTTAAGGGTTGTTGTGAAGATTCAATGGGTTAATGTCCATAGAAGACCTTTTGCAGTATAAGAATCTATTAAAAGGTGATTATTTAATCATGAAAGACATAATGATTCCCTTTCTCTTAAAACTGTGTGAATCCCATATCAATAAAATAAACTTATTCCTATATCATGTAGAAGGGTATGAAAACTGATGGTACACATGCTAAATAGGAGAAAGACAGAAGTATACATATTATGATTAAATTACTTCAAATGGTGATTTTTTCCTAGGATTAAGAAACTGCAATAAAAGTAGCAGAATTAGGAAAACATTTTTTCTATAAGGAGAGTAAGAATCATGAGATAAGTAGAAATTATAAAATGGCATTGATCTTTATTGTGGGGTAGGCAATGGAAGAGTTAGTATGAGGAAGCAATAAGTGTTTCCCTTATTAGATGAATTAAATGAGCAATGGTCAGAGAAGCCAAATAGAAACTTTAAAATGTACTTGATTTTTATCTTGTGTGTATCATTGTTTACAACATGTGTAAAATTGCACCATGTATGTGTAGGATGGTACATGCACATCTTCATAAAGGAGTGTCATCTGCTGACCACAATAAATGGAGTGTCCAAGGAGAATAGTAAGCATTTGTATCTTGAAAGTGAGAGTTACAAGATCAAAGCAGAATTTTCAGCATCTAATTGGGAGCAGTGTGGTATTCTCCATCAGCATACACTGTGCTGGCTGGAAAAGGAAGAGAGAGAGAGTGAAGAGCCCGAATGATCTTTTGATGAAGATGGGCAAGATTTAAGAATTATAACTACCAGCCAAGCATAGTTGTGTTTAATCCCTGCAAATAGGAAACATAGGCAGGCAAATTTCTGTGAGTGTAAGGCCATCTTGATCTATATATTGAGTTCCAGGATAACCAGGGCTATATAGTGAGATCCTGTCTCAAAACAGAAACAGAAACAAAGTTGAAGATCTTCCTTAGCTATATGTTAAGGGCAACTAAGAGATATGAGACCTTGTCACAGATGAAAACACACACACACACACACACACACAAATGACAACTGCCATCTCTTCAGCACTTGATACGTGCCACGAGGTCTAACTAAAGAACGTACCATGGGTCGTTTACTTAAATCCTTCTAGAGATAGGTGTTATATTGTCACTTTGTAATGACGCTGGAACTCAGAAAGGCTTAGCAGTTTCTCTAGTGTCATACTAAGTGGCAAAGCTAGGATTTTAAACAGTGTTGGAATGAAAGTATGCTCAGTGAGGCTTTGGAAGATCCTGGGGTGTAAAATAATGCTCTCTAGCCAGGAAAGGGCTAGAGAGATTAACAATGGGTATTGGAGTGGGGAAATAAGCTCAGAGGTCCCTCATTCATTCACCATTCACTAGAAACTATTTTTGTACCTATATGCCAAGAGCTGTGTGAGATATAGTGATTGAAGTTAAAGTGGTAACTCTAGATTTCCCTTTGAATGATATCTCTCCTGGGAAAGGTCATTAGCAAACTCATATCATGTTACTGTAGGAATCTTTGAAAGTTGCATTCAATGTTAAACTTGCATGGTCATACTGCAGAAAGAACTGACTGAAAACAGAACCAAGGAGTCCCCCAAATGAGGAAAACAGTCATCCCAAAAGACTAGTGACACACATTCTCCAACAAGGCCACACCTACTCCAACAAAGGCACACCACCTAATAGTGCCACTCCTTTTGGGGGCCATTTTCTTTCAAACCACTTCAGAATGGATTACATATAATTATGGCACTTAGAGCTGTTGAAAATCCAATTACCAGATGGGTAGTGTAAGTGGGGAAGTGGGGGAGAATAAGGTCCACCCTGGCTATGTGTTACTGTGACAAGTTACATCTGCTTCAAGCAAGATTCCCCAGATTGCACAATGACGACTCCTGCACACACTCACTTCATTTCAGGGTTGCTGCACTAAACAATAAACTAAATTTGAGAGCCTGGAAGCCAGATGTAACTTGTCACTTTCCTTTCTAGCCGGTTAAGCCAAATGCTGTTCTATCGGATTGAATACGGACAGGGTGAATTTCAAGTAAGAGAAAATTCAACCTGAGTGACAGATTTTCCTCTAAAGTTACTTCTGTTTGATTTCATCCTTTCCCCCGCTCCCCTTTTCTGTGATATCCCACAATGAAATGGAAATCAAAATCTCAGTTCCAAGGCTGTGCTCTGCTTTTGGCTCTGTATAAGCCATCACCTCATGTGTGCCTGCTGT